AAAAAAAAAAAAAAAAAAAAAAAAAAAAAAAAAAAAAAAAAAAAAAAAAAAAAAAAAAGAGCCACCGTGCACAGAGCAATCGTACATGCATGCAGCACGCGCCCGAAATATTGTTATTATATTAATTATCATTGTACACTTACTCGTTATAATATTACTCGGTCTTATTTTCTCCTTTGTTTGCAAGTTTTATTCATAAATATATATTATCTTACTCTTTGATTATCTATTTGAAGAACAAAAAAGAGGAGAAAAAAAAAATAAATAAATAAAATAAACTGGCGGGTGCAAGGCCAATATTATCCTCGACGATATGTTGTCGATTTTCGTTCTCCTCCTCCTCCGCATCAGGTATGTACATGTACGAGCGAATTGCCTATACGTATAATATTTGTATCGCCGGCACATGACCGGCAAACAGCCAATTCGCGCGCACGAATACCCTTTCATACTTTTCCCATTTCTCTTGACGTTTCGTGTTTATGTGTACGTGTGTGTGTAGGCGCGTGTTTGATCGATCGATCTAGTAGAGCAAGCGATGCTGGTTGTAGGTTGGATAGCCCCTCGAACCGACGAGATAACCACTTCTTCCGCCGTAGCTGTCGTAATTCTGCAATCAACGAACGGATGTATTATGCCTGACCGAAATCTGATTGGATCTACTTGAGTTGTATTGCGGCCCACTTGATATATTATATATGGAATGGGTGTACGTGATGCAAAGGTAATTGTTGTACCGACCTGCGATCGTTTCCTAGACACCATGAACCTCTTCTCGGGCGGGTAGTAAGAGCCGTGGACGCTGTACTGGGGCAATCCGTACTGGGGCGTGCCGTACTGTACCCCGGCGGCGTCGTACTGTTGTCCGGCGTATTGCGGCTGTTGTTGCTGTTGGTTGAGGTACTGCTCGTAGTAGCCGAGGGGCCTGGCTGCACGCCCGAGAGCCGCGAGCTCGGAGCTCAGAAGGGGCTCGGCCGAGAGGTAGTTGGGCTGCTGGGGGTAGCCGATCGAGTTGTCGAGCCACGAGCCGGCTGCCATAGTGAAATTTGTTGGATTGTGTCGTGCGATTACATGTTACAGAGGGGGGGGGGGAGTCGACGTGCTGGTTTCCAATGACATGTATATATAATTACCGCTCGGGTCCTCGTCGTCGAGCCCCATCAAGTTCGACTCGTCCTCGATGTTCTCGTACTCGTCGTTACCGTAATTCCTCCAGTTTCTGGAACACCATTAGCATTCATGTTTAAACGGTCCCCCCCGTATACTACAGGTATATACATATACCTAGATGGCGAAACAAAACAAACAAGCTCACCCTCTGTTACGGTGCTCGCTGTTGTACAGCTGCAGGAGAGCGTACAGCTGTTTGTCCGGATCGACGTCCGACTCGCGCTTGTACCGGATCTCAGGGTAGTAGGTTGGTATGCTGAAACAGGCCCGCCGTCACATTATAATTAATTCCATTGGAAGTTGAGAAAAAAAACTGCTGAGCAACGCGTGTGGTGGCTCGTGTTCTCGTGTTACATCTACGTGTGTAGGTATGATATTGCGCGACGAAAATCTTTGCGTCTGCAACGTGACGCTCGTTAAAAAAAAAAAAAAAAAAAAAAAAGAATCGATCGACGCGAGTCGCGAGTGAACGACCGAACGAGTGTGTATATACCTATGATAAGTACGTGGTCCGCCCATGTACATATGCGAGCACTCGTCCACAAGTGTCTCCCCCCTCCCCATCCCCTGCTCTTTCTTTTTTACTCTCTTTCTCATCCCCTCGGGTATGTGTCGTTTGGCTCGCAAGTTCTCTCCGAGGGAGCTTTCATCTCCACTTCCTGGCCAAGGCCTCTCCATTGTGCAGCTACGCATGATCTTGTGCGCGCAAACCTGCACACGTGCCGCTTATTCTGTACTTTTTTACGAAAGCCCTTATTAACATTGTCAACCGCTGCGTTCCAGAGTTATATAGTATTAGTAGTTCCAGTATTTCGATACCGATCTCTTAACGATCGCGTTGCAAACTGGGCGCGCTCGATAAATTTCAAAGTTTCTTTCGTACGAAAACAAACACACAAGTACGAGTGGGTATATATCTACCGATCGGCTCGATCTAACTTTGTTCGCTCGAAGCAACTCGATGCCTGATGCATCTTGGCTCGACGGCTGTCGGATCCAGAACAGCCCTTTCGTACAACTTGGCGACAAATCCCATCGAGCTGTAACTTACCTCACTGAGTTTATTGACAAGGAAAAGACCAACGGAAATTAACAATACCGAGTATAATTTAAACAAGCACTCCTCGCTCTGTACCTGTCGGCGTATACTCGCGTTTCTCGCTTTAATGAGCCCCTCTCCCTTCCCCTAATTTGTATACCAATGTACAATGTATACATATATGCGAGTGAAACGCGGCATTGCATATACAATTAACCCACGCATCGAAGTGTATGTATATACATGCACATATACATTGGGTGTATGGGAGGAGCAGGAGGTTCGATCGATACGCGCTCGTATGTATGTAGGAGTTGCTCCCGTCAGCTGGTTCCCCTCCTCCCGGTTGGGGGCAAAAAGGGTGGCTATGTAGGAAGATTTCCAGTCCTCGCGTGACCTACTTTCCACACGCGCTTCCATTCAGCTTTTCGCCACGTTACACGGGAGGACGCAGCCTCTCCGGCATTAACCACCACCAAGCTCCTCCGTACGTAACTTTGATACACATACACCTGTGCGGGCGCGTATCCTTTGGCTCGGGAGCTACCCCCGGAGTAGCTAAGCTCCTCTTTGGCCCGAGGGGAGAGTATACGTACACGAGGGAATCTACGAAAAAATCTTTTTTTTTTTTTTTTTCTTCGTTTGGACACACTGAGAGACCGGATTGTTTATCTTGAGGATGACAAAAAATATGCGCGAGCTTGCAATCAACCGTTATTATTTTTTTTTACTTCCCCAGTTTTACAATGAAAATGAAAGTTTGGTTAAAAATTGAATGAAAAAGATCAAACGGGTTACACTTGGTTTGTTTGATAGTATGTACATGTATCCTCGAAAACAAAGGTCCCGAGTCACATGCCTCGAAAGACAAAATTGTTTAAATTCGGTATTTTCTTTTTTTTCTTTTTGTTTTTTTTTTTTTTTTGCGGAATCGCTCGTGTAAAACGTATACGTGTCCTCCCACGCTTTTTCTCTTTCACGCGCACACACACACGCCGCGCACATCAGCCACCTTTGTTCAGTGGGAAGGCAACGTTTGTTATTCCAACGGTCGCGCACGCGATATGTATAAAATCTGCGTATATATAAATATTTTTTCCTCGTCCCTGATGGCCAGAGTAACGCGTTCGCTCTCCTCCATCTCCGGAGGATGTATAGGTGTACACGCGTACGTGTATAATATTAGTTTAGCTGTGCCACGTACATTTGGTTACTCGCATGTGTGAACCTACATGATAATAGTGGATTAGGTAAAAAGTGATGCGCTTTCAAACGTGGGTTACGTGTAAAGCATATACTGTACAAGTGTATGTATATACGTGGGTTCTCAAGGAAACGGGACTTGCTGGCGTGTATAAATACACCTTAATTGCTCGACGGTCGCGAGGGTGTATTTTTGGAGAAAGTCGAGTACGTCTGGCTGAGTTTTTCTTTTTTCCCCCTTCGTCTACACACCCGAATGTAAGGTGTACAGGGAAAGGTCGGAGAGGAAGAGACGTCATCTCTAACTGCCCTGTAACTCAGCGCACGACTAAAAAATAGAGCCCCCTTTTTTTTTAAACACTTTTATAGATGTATATTTTTCCCAAGGGTTTTTCGAGCGTGGGAATAAGCGATCATTACCGATAAGTATATATTCAAGAGCCCTCGGCGTGTACAAGTGATATTTGTTCGAGCAATTGTCGTGTAAGGTATTTGTTTGCGGTTAAACAATCGAAAAATGTTGGAGAGCGCAAAACAATGCAACGAGAAAAGATAGTAGGCCGATCAATAACGAGAGAAGCCGTCTGTAGGTATTGTTTCTCCCTGTGAAGGAATTCAAACAAGCGCATGATACAGCCCGAGACGAGGGAGCAAACAAAAGGGCGCGACAAAGTGAAATTTAAAGGAATAAGAAGGGAAGGGTGTAATATAATAGTCTCGACGGAATGTCGGCTCTCGCTGAGAAGATCGTACTGTCTCCTATGACAAATAAAAAGGAAACAAAACATTATTTCGTAAAAAAAATTATTACGTAAACGCGCGATCGGCGCTTCTTTTATTTCGTCATCGAAAGTTCATAGATTGGTGTTCACGAAGATTATTGGATTAGCCCGTCGAGTCTTTCACCATTTGGTTGTTCGTCACGCGTCGCATTTCGCGCGTGGAAAACAAAAACTCGTTGGAAAGAAAAAAGAGAAAAACAACATCCACGAATGGAAGAAAGGAGATATCGAATACGTGACATTCGTGGACGGAAAGCTAAATAAGGTGCGTGTATATATATCGACGCGAGAAAGAGACGCATCTATTCCTGCCCCCCCCCCCACACGATTGGACATCGGACGAGCTTCTTCGTCCCATCAAAAAAAAAAAAAAGCCGGTCCACGTATACCCTATTCGAGTGCAATTTCGTACTCGCACGCGGGTGAAAATGAAATTGCTGAAACTTCCGAGGAAACCTTGTGCTCCCGTGAAAAATCCCCCCTCCCATCTATCTTCCGCGCGACCCTCGAAGTTTCACCATACATGCACACGCTCCGAGTGCATCGTAAAAGTGACGAAGCTTCTGCGAGTTTCACGAAACAGGTGTATATTATTTATTATAGCCCTCTCGCGATACCCGAGGTAACGGGGGGAGAAAAAGAAAAGGAACGGCACATACGATTTTTGCGTTCAAGTAGGAGCTTTTACGCGGTAGGTATATATACCTCGCTCTTCATATGCATGCATACATTCGAAGGGTGAATTGCTTTTTGAACGCGATTAGTTCATACTTGCACTCGCGCTCTTCCATCAATTTCAGGGGAAGCTGGTTATTTTTCTCTCTCTTCGTCTTTGCTCTTCGTGCGAAAACACGAACCATCACCAGAATCCAGGCGCATCCTGTTTGCCGTAATATGTATACCTGGAGGTAAATACACGAAGTACGTGTGGATGGGCTTACCTTCTCTTGGGCTGGGCCGGAGGAAGCTGCGGGAGCAAAGCCGAGGACTTTGAAGGGCCGGCGACAGCTGGCGATGGCGGGGCCGTGCCGACGATGGATGCAAAAGAGGAGGACGGCGAGGCGGGAGCCAAAGTGGTGGTAGTGGTCGGCGAGCTCGAGTCCCCGGAACGCTTGCGACGCTCCTCGGCCGAGAGGCCGGTGACAGCGTAATTCCGGCCGAACCTTTGGGGACCTCGGTCCCACGAGTTCCGGGGGAACACGTCGTCCAGCTCGTTAACCAGGACCCGGCCGTACCTATACATGTTGCGCGGAGAGGGAGGAAGAGAGAAACGAATGTGAGCAACAAAAAAAGAGAGATTTACAAGGGTGCCAGATGTCTCTGAGTGCACAAGAGAGAGGGTGTAGAGTTGCGTGCCATATCGCGATCCCTCTGGGGGTGGCGATAATTCAAGCGTTAGTCTCGCTTCTTTCGTGCTTCGATCTCTTTTCACACCGTAGGGGTGCAGGTTACTCAGTTTATTATTATTATGTTTTTTTTTTTTTTTTTTTTTTCTCAATCCACCGTCACACGATATTTGGTCGCAGTGTGTGTACGTGACCACGAAAAAAATCCCCTCGATAAAAGCCACGTCGCGTCCCTCCGTGGTCTCTCTTTTCCGCCCGATAGCCCACTTCGATCGTCGGAACGGTACAGTCCGCGCGGATAAACACCCGAGCCGTGTTATTAACTAAAATTACCGAGAGAGGGGGGGGTGGGGGGACCTGTACGTACAACACACCTTCCTCTGCTGACGTCAATCGGGTTGGGGCCAATTCACCTGTGTACGCGTGTCCTTCGAATCCACGTCTTTATCGTAACCGAGATTTTTCCACTTTGGTACCACGCATGGCCACTACCACTTGCTTGGTTCCTCTCCCCCCCCCCCATTCTTCCTGCCATGGGGAAGGACGAATGTTTTTACAAACGAGCACGTGGTGTTGTTTTCATTCCCGATGGTTTCACTCGAAGTACCCTTCTAATATTATAACTTTTCAATAGCTGGGACGCGCGTGTCTCGAGCCGTTCCCACGTGAAAACGTTTCAAGCCCGTTCCCGGTAACCAAGCTATTTTCAAACTGTTCTTATCGCGCGAGTCTTTCCATGAATTAATTACACGATTAACCGTACAAGTACATGTATATAAACGTACGTTTCAGGGAACGTTTTTCTCTTGTTTTTCCTAGCGCGCCTGAAAATCCATCGATTGATGCAAATGCCGAAAATTGACGTCAGAGGAAACGCGTCTAAAAAGAGGACTATAGGGGGAGGTGACCTAAGTGTGTCCTATACGTTTATTCGCATTAACAGGTGCACTGTCGAATCATGCTTTACCTCAACTGTATATAGGTTTACGACGCACAATAAAAGAGACTCACTCGTAATTGTTGTCGCGCTGGGGCACAGCGGGCTGGTCCATGATGTAAGTGCCGGGGAAGACTTCGGGGCGCTGCTCGGCCTCGGACAGCACGGCGCTCGCGTCCTCGAGTCCAGAATTGCTCAGTGTTCCTAAAGAGATACCGGTTGAACATATGGATACGCAATGGAGGGCAACGCGCGATGGATGAATTTGACTCTACTGACTATAGAGCGTTAATGGAAGAGCTTTGGTTTTTTTTTTGTTGCCTCCCGACTTGAAATTTAGTTAAAATTTCCTCTTAAACGTCACAACGAATTCTGTACACACGTTGCATCCAATCGGGTGTAGTTTTCATGAATATCGGATCAACAATAGCGTGAAAAAACAAACAATGGGTAGAGAGATAGAGGGAGGAAAGCTTACTCTTTTCCAGCGATGGGGCGATATTGGCAGGTGGGGCGTTCCGGTCGGCTGCTGCACGTTGATTCTGCTGATTGCCGAACATGAGAAGTTCTTGCGATCGCTTGACTACTGCGCATTGTGTATGTGTATGTACGTCATGGCCGTGCAGCGCCGATGGACAGATACGCGGAACACGAAGAAATAATAGACATGTATGTACATACGGATGAGAGGATGAAAGCGATCGTATATACATGTGACGTACGCGTCGAGCGTTTGTTTACCTTTGGGCCTGGCCGGTTGCTCCGACTTTTTGGCTTCGTCGGCGAGTCCTGCGGTAGGAAGCGCCTGGACCGCGACGAGTATCGCGCTCAGCCCCAGGAACCACATCCACTCGGAGTACATCTGCAACAGACAAACCCATAAAGACCACAAGTCATGAGATCTCGTTCTCTTTTTTTAATGCATATATATATATATATACATTCATTCAACGAAACATCCCTAAATCAACGCGTCAGATTCCCCCCAACGAATCGCAATGTCTGACCCAACGTTGATCTCGCCTACTTGCGCCTTCGGACGGCGAACATATTTATGCGCTCTCTTTCGAAGGGCTTATCTCTTTGAAAAGTAACAATGAAACAGCTCCAACTGTTGATATTTCAACTCTCGCGGAAATAAAAAATATATGTATATAAATATTACAACGTAATTTTTATCAAAGTGAGTTCCACCCCTTCTGTTTTGTATTTTTTGTTCCGTTATTTTTTACTTTGGTAAAAAACTGGTAACAAACTGAAAACACCTCGGGCCACCTGAGAGCGTTCATTAAACATATGTCGGTTCGTTTGGTTGTTCTGTTTCCTCGGACGCTTCAACGCACCCACGAATCTCTCCCTCCCCTCAAAGTGCAATATATATACTTATACGTGCAGCGCCGAGCCTCGCAACTCTAATAGACTCGTGGCGCGATATAGGCCCACGCCATCAGGCGAACCGACCCAGTGTATAGGTGTACTATCCGCACGTGCACGCAGCATATTAACACACGGGGAGAATCGCGCGGGTGTAACCCAATTAGATTTCCTCGTCGAACTACGACGACGGGGCGTTCCATTAGACTTAACGTATATATAGCACCACGTATACAGGGAGATTCTACCGCGCTAATAGAGTCCTCCAGTGCACAAGGTATAATATCATATACCGTTGGTATAATGTATACATATATGTACGGTGGACGCCTGCAATTTGCGGCCGTGCGGTACATTCGGGCATTGATTTTCAATTTCTAGGGGCTGCAAGCTCCCCCTGTGCCTGCATCACGGGAATGGTCGGCTGGCTCCAAGTTTACCCTTGAGAGTATAGGTTGTGCACACCTCGAGGGAGAAAGTTTCTCGTGCTTCCAAAGTTGCAAGTGCAGGCGCTGATCTACGTTTAAAATCGATATACACTTTTTTGCGTCTCGACGATATTGTTCGAATCTTTTTTTTTTTTTTAGTCACCGAGTGCCATTGCACCGTATTTTTGTTTAACCCTCGATTGGGTACATCAACAATTCCCCCCTATACACCCCACCGTTAGAGTTTAATAGACTTTGCGGGTATAATCGAATGAGCGGAAAAAGGCAACAACTCTGCTGACGGAGCGTACGGTGAAAAATCGATTTTCGGTAAAGGCGGGGAGGGGAGGGGGTCAACTTTTTTCAATGCATCATCAAACCACGGTGTAGTCAAAGCCAAAAGGAATTGTAAAAGTCACGCGCGGGCTTTTTTGTATCTTTGGCGCGAAAAGAGCCTCGATTGGGTGCACGTGTGTGATTATCGGTGAGGAAAAATCGAGTCATCGATAATTTTCCGGTCGAATCGTCCATTGTCGACAGATGACGCTTATCGCTACGACTATAGAGTATATCCGAGTGGAGTTGGGGGAAAAAAAAAAAGAAGAAGCTTAGGCAGCCTCGGCAAAGATCGATATAATCGTACAGCACAAGGACAAGTCTAAGTGAGAGAGAGGGACAAAGAGAAACAAAAGGACAATGTAGAAGCCGATGTGGGAAAACAAGAGACTGTTGTGATGCCCGAGGATAGAACACCCATGCACATACACGTGTAGACGCGCGCGACAGTTTGCGATACAAAATAACTAAGCCGTTGGCTACCGTGACGTCAATGAAGCCCTCGTTGACGTCAATGTGCCGTCCGTGCGCGACATGCATGGACAACCCACTAGACAGTCCAGGACACCAAAAGCCACGCTCTGCCTACTGCGAGGAGACGTCGGGTCGGCGAGGGAGGGGAGGGACAAAGTGACACAACTTGTTGCTCGTCCTGCGGGGATAGAGGCGCACGTTTAATCCGTATACGTATATATATATACGCATGGCTACAGTAGCGGGGATGCGTGGTTGGTTATGCATAGGGACGAAAAATCGCTCCTCCGATGGCTTATTGCGGAAATTGTTTTTCATCCCTTTGTCCCTTACGCTGGAATTCTGTGCGCGGAAGGGAGCAGATATATATGGGGAGGTGGAAATCGTTTTTCGTTTCTCTCCTTTGAAATCAAGAAATTTGCGTGAAATTTTTACCAACGCCCACACGTCAGCCCACAAAACAGTATATTACAAAGCAAAACCCCCGGTATTTAACTGGAAAAATGAGAAGAAGAAAAAAACGAGACTCACCTCGTGACGCGCAGCCAGCAGCTGTCAGCGGTACGGAGTATAGGTAGCAAGCGGAGCTAGTCTTGAAAAGAGCCCCCTCTGTCCCTCGCACCACTTGAAACTCGTTTGGCGTCGAAAGCAGGAGTATCAGGTATTTATAGAAACGCAGAGGTGCGAGTGCAAACGGGAGGAAGACACGCGCGTCCTTCCGTACGGGTGTTTCGGGCCGCAATGGCTCCGAGGGGCGAGCGCACCCAACAGCCGGGCCAGCCCCTCTTACCCCCTCTCGGGCGAGAGACACCCACGCAAATCCCTCTACGTCGAGAGCAAAAAGGGGGGTGGCGAGAGACTACTGCCTCCCTCCCTCCCATCCTCTGGGGTGGCTCTGACGCTGTACCTCATTCTCTCGGGTCGGCTGTGGTACATGTAGCGTCTCGCGCTGACGCGATATATTCATAGTGGAGACCGGGTGGGGTGAGTGCAGCAGATGCGCCGTAAGCGTCACAAATGGATTATATCGATTCTTTTTGTTTGATCTGTTTTGTTTGCACAAAGTGCGACACCAGTTGTAAACGACCGGATGCTCCGGTTGGGGGAAAACTTGGATTTATGTGCTCGAGTTCCTATACAATATTATACGTATCGATGATGATCAAACAAGGGGGGAGTGGGGGGGGATGTGTGTGCACCATTGGCGATGGTACAGCAGCTCGTTCGACGTATTATACCGGTGCCCCGATGATTAGCGATTGAACTGTCGTTGGACGGGGAGAAAGAGACACCCGGTGGAGCTGTGTACACAATGATAACGGCGCCGGTTCGATTGATTAATGCCCCTTTGCCGGTCAATTGTATCTCGCAGAGGGACGACCTTGGCGGTGGGTTACACACTCGCGTGTATACGTGTAATTTTTTCCGCCACGTCATTCCTGGGGTGTCGCGTTGGTGCTCCACCGACATATGAATATACAAGTTGTTGTTGTCACACACGCGTGCAAGAGTGTTTTTTATCGTTGGGTCACCGTGCACTTGTCGCGTATCGACACATTAGCCTTTGAAATCGGAAATTTAAAAATACCAAACGTACAGTCACATTTTATCCCTTGATACTTTATATATACTTGCTTTTCCCAATAGACGTCTGACCAAATATAGGCTTCATCTACTTGCTACCCTGTACAACGTATCACCCAACGCTCGTTTATCCACAGATGTTTCTCACATCACCGAGATGGAGCTGATATTATACCCGCAGTTTTTCATGTAAATTCGAGCGCGACGCAAAACGTGTATCATTATACCTACCCACGCGTACATGGATACACGAGCCACGCATCCGTACCTATACACACATGTTTTTTGTATACGTATATATACGACACGTAAAGAAAATCGCCGTCGTTGGTTTTATGAATGAAACCGACCAACGGAGGCAGGAGGGGGCGAAATGAGCAAGGGGAGGTGGAGGGAGCGAAGAAAAGTCGATGAGGCCGGCGCGTCAGAGACGGAGATACGCGGAGAGTTATAAGGGCGCCGGTTGGCCAAATTCGGTGGGGGGCGCCCACGCCGTTTCGGGTTTCAGCCCCGTATACCGATTGGGACGCGAGAGGAGTTTTCCCCCGACCCCTCCCACAGCTCTTGGGATTTCTTTTTTTCTTTTTTTTTTTTTTTTCTTCTTTCTTCTCGTTTCGAGTTGACGCGTGGGAAAATTGCGGGCCGACCCAATACCTTGTTGACTCTACCGGGAAGCTCTTTTTCTCGTTTTACCGGTGGCACTTGCGGCAGATAAGAGTTGGTTCTTTGATGATCACGATTTGAAGAAAAATATGAAAAAAAAAAAAAAAACTCCTCCTTGACGACCATTGACAACTATACCTAGTTTGTCAACTACCCGCGTAAGCAGGAAAACTCGTTATAGAGCCAGCGCGACTGGAGATAATGCAATTTTCCGGAAAGTTCGAGAAAGAAGGGGGAGTAAAGAAGAACGTGATGACCGATGCTCCGATCGATGGGTAAGGAAAACTCGTGAACTTTAACTTTACGTTCGAGCCAACTTTTTCCATACGTCCAATCGGATTCACGTGGTCATCGGACTCGTTTGTTCATTTTTTTGAGCCTCACAATATAACATAAGTGTGTTATTGCTCTTTTGGTCAATTAGGAATAGGGGGTAGATGACGAGACAGTTTTTTTTTTTTTTTTTTTTTTTTGTTGGACCTCGTTGTTTACGATGGCTATTCTCCGAATTTGTTTACCTGGGGCTCAGGCGTAAGGAAAAAAAAAGGAAAAAGTAGACGGTGTTCTCTGGAAAACGAGTTGAGTTTGAAAAGATGGAAAGTAGTACTTGAGCGCTAACTTTTTCCCCCTTGGATCTCGCGAGGGAATTTCAAACGAAAAACTTTTTTCAAAGAAATTTTTCTCAGAGTCGATTGCGCGTTTATTTGATTCATTGCAACTGATTCATCAGTGTAAACCAATTAAAAGAAAAGAAAAAAATTTTATCGTTGAAATCGAAAAAGCAATTACACGTACATTTCCACCCCCTGCGAGATAACCGAGTTTATATACGATATTATCGCCTTTTTTAATCACAAAAGCACGAGCTTTACTGCTATTGCGTCNTTTTTTTTTTTTTTTTTTTTTTTTTTTCCATGTGACACCTATGTCAATAGTCGTTATTATAGAGAATATACGCTTACTGTATTGATTATCGATATTTCATTTATACCGTCATACAAAATTGATTCCGTAGTTTGCAGGTATTTAAATTTGTTATTTTTTTATTTGTTACTTTTCAACTTTGTCAATTTGTTTATTCATTTAAACAACAAAAATGTAAACCTTGAAAGTCATTTCTAAAGACCCTGAAAATCACGAGGCAGCAATTACATTAATTTAAGCGCACGTCTGACCACGCGTTGACTCGTTCTACTGAAGCGAAGATAATAATGCTTTGGGGTATACATTGATGAAATCTGTTCACGTGTACAAGTACCTGTATGCACTTACTCGTGGTGGGTAAGGGAAAATCCACAGATCAAGGGTGATAATGCCAAGAGCGAGTCTTGATCTTGTAGTATTCGTACACGCGATGTACACGAGGCAAGAAGAGAGGAAGCAATTTGTTCCGTACGTGGGTGGTGTAACATTTCGGGAAATTTCGCAGTTGACGGTTTTTTTTTTTTTTTTTTTTTTTCTCTGAGCTGCATATTACACGAGGTGTCGCGTTTGACGCGCAACTTTGTTCCATATACGTTTGAGGGACATAAAATTCCACGTGATTCCCATACGACGGGCGTAAAATGACGGTACGCGTAAGAAAACCGAACGGAGAAGGTACATGAGGTTGCATCTGCGTATATGCGTGACCTTATTTCCTCAAGAAAGAACGAGAAGGAAAAAACCTATGTATTTCTCCAGTATCGTGGAATTGTACACGCGCGACAGAGAGAGTATACGAATAAAAATGCAAGGGAGGGCGGATCTCCGCGCGTGTACGCACAATGTATATCTCACACGAGTGTATAAGGGCAACTTATTCACTTTCACGTCTCAACTTGCGTGTATACCTTAGAGAGCCGCGTCCACTACGACACAAGTTGTATACACGAAATAGTCGGCCGATCGATAATATCGAACTCGCGTTGACGACAAAAGCAGCCGCAATGACAGCCAGCGGGGAGCAAAGCTCTTTTAATATCGCTGTTACCCGTAAATCGTGTGGCTTTTTATGTGCAGGTTATATTTATTACGTATATTATGTATAAGTATATACATCTAGACGGGTGCTGAACTTGTACTGTGTATGTATTAACTACAGCTACCAGTGTACCCACTTATTTACTTTATTCGGTGCCACACGAGACAAACGTTTGTTTTTGTTTTGCCTGCAATGTTAGTCCACGTATGAAATGTGATGACGTCTGAAGAATAATACATGTAGTTATATCATTTGAGGAAGATTTTCAATGTAACGTTACAACGTCGAATCGTGTACATGATTATATTATATTACCATCGAACAAACGTAACAAAAATAAACGCGTGATAAAAATTGGTTTTAAAAAAGAAGAGAAAAGGAGGAAAAAATGTACACCAATAGAGGCAAAAAGCTCACGGAGAGGAATTCTATATACCACGTGACGGAGTAAAGCCCGAGCTTTTATTTACAGTTCCCGGTAGCACGTGGGATACGTCGTATTTGTGTACGTCATTGAGAAGGACAGAGGGGTGAATCTACGTGAATATATTGCACGCGCGAATTCGAGTGAAAACTCAATGAGCTTCCGCAAGGGAATGATACCATAATGTACATTCCACGTAGACCCGCTCCCCGGAGACTCGAACCGAATAAAATGCTGTCAATCTGTTTTTTTCTTTTTTTTTTCTCCGAAAAATAACTTTGTCAATACAAAGCCCACCGCGGTACCTGGCCCGTTGGGAAATAAAATTCGTGTCATTCGAATACGACAAAAATAAAACACAACAAACATTAAAATGCATGGAACCCGATTCTAAAATAAGACAATCACCCGATGGACATGCACTCATCTTGCAGTCGATCATGTAGCTATAGGTACACGCGTCCACATTCAACGATTGTGCAACGGCTCCTCAACGTGAAACTGGTCGCTTGATTATTATCTACAAGTACACCTGTATAACTTATAATGTCATCATTCCATCATTAGTTCCCCTTTATATGGATAAAATATATATGCTCTCTCCTTTTCCTTCAAAGTCTCCTTTAACTCGATCCCGTATCCCGTTTTCTGCGACCCGTGTGTATACCTCGTTGCGCGGACAGGCCTGGGCCAGGCTCGACCTGTTCAGCCCACCCCCGCGTCGTTTGCCCTCGCCCACGCTTCCCTCTCCTTCTTTTCCCAGTTTGCGGGGCCGCGCGGTGCATTTCACTCCTCTCCGGCCTCCCTCTTCCAGCCCCGAAAAAATAGGTCAACTTCGCCACCCCCACCCTCTCTCTCCTCCTTTTCTCCCATTGTTCGAGATCACAGGGTAAGTCCTGCAGGACATGCACGTCTAAGTAGCTCCCTCGCGCCTACGCCCTAAAGTGTACGCATACGTTTCATATACGTTATTTTTTTCTTCTCCGAGTCATTTATCATACATCGTTTCTCCTTTCCTTTTTTTCCTCCCACCCTCGGCTTGTATATTGAAATTGTACCCGCATGTGTGTATGAATTTTTTTTTCCAGACCATCCGAATGAAATAACACTCCTTTGGATGTGTATGGTTATTCGGAGCCGCTCACCGTCCCCGGGGAAAAATCTCGTTCGTGGATATTGAGAACAACTGCTGTTGCGGTTTTCATCATCCCCCCCCAATGCGGGTGATACAGACTAAATTTTTTCTTTCTTTTTCTTTTCTTTTTTTTTTTTTTTTTTTTTTTTTTTTTTTTTTTTTTTTTTTTTTTTTTTTTTTTTT